GCTCTTGGGTGTCTGGCTCTGTAGCTTGGACAGACTGAGCCTTGGTGTTTTAAGGGATATATGGTTACAGCTTGCCCCTGTCAAAGGTTGATTAGTGTTTTTTAAAGCAGTATTATTTCTTCAAAAGCAAAATTATAAGGCACAAACTCTAAAAGAGAAAATATGGTCAGTCCCCCTCAGAGTCACTTTAAAGCTGATTAAATGAAGTGTCAGTAATAAAAGATGAAAGAATAAAAAAGGAGACCTGTTGACTTCATATGTTTAAAAGCCCTACAAAATGCCTCTCTTAGCCAGAAATATTGCCACCAACTTTGCTGGCAGTGTTCAATCAAACCTATTGGATAATGCTGTATAATTGGTATGTTGCCAGCATATGCACAGTCATCAACATAACACTGATTCATAGCTTCAGGCCAGGTGTCAGCTTTTTGGACATGCGAGTTAAGAGTAGTTTAGTTCAAGTGCACTGTGATACCTAACCGAAACCATTCAAATCCAAAGCATACCAAATAGTGTCCTTTTATTTTAAAACTTAAAAATTGAAAATAGTTTTTAATACACTATTAATAAAGCTAATCCTGGTGTTTGCAATATAGATGTAGATAGCATAGGTGCACTGTTTGCCCTACCATTTCTTTCTTATGATTTAAATCTGCAATGCCAGCAACCGACTGAAAACCTAGCTAAGAAGCCTACTCACTATTCATTAATTGTGTGCTAAATGCTTAGGGATACCTGGTCACAAATAACACTGTGTCACAGACTGCGTTTGAACTAGTAGTTTCTGAACTAGAGGACTCAACTTTTATTTCAAATCCTCACCATCATCTAGCTAAGCCACCCAGAAGCTTTAAAGAAATTTTCTGAGCGTTTTTTTTTTCTATTTGTGTTCTGGAGCATGCCGGAGTGCATTACTTTTGGAAAATTAACACACACTGCACCAGTAGCAATGACAGTAGCAAAAAACTAACCAAAATGCAGTTGGATAGAATTGCAGTCACCAATAACATACTGATCAATGCATGTGGTGCAGATAAGTAGCAGAAGTTAATGAGACATTAAAAATCTATGAGTGGTACAAAGAGTATCAATTTAAAAGATAACTGGTAATTGCTATTTCTCCACAACATGCTATATGGAAATGTTTCTTCTGGAAAAAATCTTTGGTTCGGGTACATCAAGTATTTCTTTTAAATACATTTATTTCATAGCAAATTTGCATAATTAGAAAGTGCAACATTCTAACTGAACAGAACAGGGTGTGTGCATGCAATTGCCAAATTATTCTAAGAAATGTAGTATTGTATTTAAAACATTATTGCGCCCAAATGAACAGTGACAAACACTTGATATGTTTTTGCACAATCGTAACAAAAAACAGAACTCAAAGCTTTATACAGCCTCATATTAACATTAACCTTTGTTAAAACATTAAGAATATTAGTAAGCAACAATAAATTTTAGATTTTGGCAATGTAAAATATTTCTAGGTTTGCTGCTTTGTCCAATTACAGATGAAGAGATAAGTCCCAACGTGCAGATAGCTGGGCTGACTAGGCTTGCTTTCATACAGCAAACATGCAAATGTGGGACATTTTAAAATGAGGTTACTTAAACAGATTAGAAGCTGTGATTTGGAAAATGCAACGTTTTAACACATTATCGTTTCTTAATCTGTTCTGGCTAGCTCAGTAACTCCACAGGTTTTTTTTCATGTGTAAGTGGAGCAATATGTATTAAACAGTTTAAAACAAATCTCATCATAATTTTAAACAGAGAGAAGGAGATGCTTTGAAATGTTTGCTTTGGAAATAATTTCATTGTTTTCTGATTGACGGGTTAATTATTGGTGCTCTGGCTCAGTGTACTGTAGCTTTGTGTGTAATAGGAACCCCAGATAATAAAACAATTAAGATATTCATGTCTAGATTAGATTAATTTCAAGCAGTGACCTGTCAGTTTATTTCAAGATATTTAGATAATGTACAAATGAGTTTTTTAGAGGGGCAGTATTGTGGCACAGTTGTTAGCGTTGCTGTCTTACTGTGCTTGGACCCTGGGTTCAATTCTTGGGGTGCTATCTGTGTGGAGTTTATATATTCTGCTCATGCTTGTGTGAGTTTTCCCCAAGTGTTCCAGTTTCCTCCCACAGTCCAAAGACATCCTGGTAGGTTACCTCGCACATGGGAAAATCGGCCCTGGTTTGTGGTTGGTGTGATTGTTTATATGTCTGTGTTCTCTCCAATAGACTGGCATCCTGTCCAGGGTAACCTATCTTGTGCAAATTGCTTGCCAGGATAGGCTCCAACTCCCCCTGACCCAGTATCAGATAAAACAATTAAAAATAGATGGATGCATTTTCTCAGATTTTCACTGTAAAACTTATGAGAGGGAAAAAGTCAGTGCCACACATTCTCAAAAAGAAAAGAGACTTCTCAGATCTGCTCAAAAAGTTCCAATTACCATTTGTGTGTGCCCCCTCATTTAAAGGAAAACTCCCAATGCCTCTTTCATTATCTGTTCTCATAAAATCGACAATTCTTATAATGAAAACCCACATCAAGTCCAAACCTCAAAATAATTAGTTTCAGTTAAATTTGTGATTTAACTGTAATTACAGTTCACAGACCATTTAAGTCTGTTGAGTTTCTTCTTTTTTATCTCATAGTCTAATTAAAATTTCAGTTTTTCTACAGCACAATGAAAGACTTTTTTAAGTTTAAATGCATATTTAATTAAATCTGTTAGTCTTACATGAGTTTGAGAATAGATGGTATGTTCGTTGAAGTTAAATTATTTATGTCTCATCTCATTTTTCCCCATTTTGTTTTAAATAGTTTAATTACTTTGCCAATGGGCACCATGTTCTTATCTTTTGTCATTCTACCTATAGTTCCTGCCACCAAGGCTGCAAGAAGACAGTGTGTGCATGTTACAAAAAAGGCAATATGATTTACCTGATGAGTATCAACATGCACGATTGTCTAGATATTCATTGTTCATAAAGTTTCATTCAAATTTGATTTTACCAGTTACTAATAGTCAAAACAAACCTTTTTAGGCATGAACAAAAGAGCAAAAAAAAGACCTGGACACAGCAAATATTTGAGACTCGACCTATAAATACAGTTTCTTGTCAGCATCAGGTCAGTAGACTGTTCTAAGGTGAAGGCAGGTACTGTACTATGACTCACAATAAAAAAATCGTTACTCAGTTTATGCTGTGCTTGTTGATAAACCGTGCCCATATATGGAAAAAGAGTTACGTTCAGTAGCTTGCAGTCCCACAAAGAGTGCAAAGCCATTCTCAGCTGAGAGGGCTTTGGCAAGGTTCCTTGTCTTATGTGGCAATGCATGAGATTTGAATAAGGCCTTGGCCACAAGGACTTGCCCGTTGTACCTGAACTTTCACCTGAATACAAGTGGCTTGAATCATGCCACATCAAAACGTTTCTGATAAAACCATTAAGCATGGGACGACTAAACAAAAACCATCTAAACTGAATCCTTTTTTGGCAACTCACTTTGCACAGTTTAATCATATAAAGGTACACGAGTTAGTACAGTTCAGAGCACCAAGACATAGTCTAAGGTGATATGCCTAGGATCAACTTCCTATCCAAAGCTTTTATCAATATCTCTGGCACAACTGACTGATAGTAAATACATTAAGGATTTCTTCTCAATTTTCCATTTTAATGTTTTACACTGCTTTGTATTTGTGAGAACACACTGAATGTTTATAACATAGTGTGGATACCAAAATGTGTAATCCTGTTTTTTAAAGTGCATTTCATTTACTGCATTTAAAGACATACCTGTACAGACCTGCATTTTTCCACAATTATAAAAAGATTGCTTCTCCATTATGTTTTAGGGCTTCACATTTGTATTAATAAGTTTTATGTTAGGTCATCCATTTATTCATTATAGAAAGCTTCATTCCAGGAAGGAGAACAGCAACTCAGAGCAAATTCCAAAAGCACAGAGAGCAATGTACTGTAGGACTACACCCTAGATAAAATGACAGCACACCCCGGTCAGACAAATACTGTACTGGTACAGTACAGAAACAACAACCAAGCTAGCAGTCCTTCTATACTGGATTGTGTCATGGAAAATGTTTCTGAACACTAATAGCAGAGGCAGAAAATACAATGCATATTTCAGCTGTTTTTTTCACGAAAACTAATACCTTCATCGTAAATTTTCAGTTGACATGAAGTCCACAATTAGTATTCACTTAAACACAATGCATTTGAAAAAAAAAAACCTGCATGTGCACGTTGAAACATTCTGCAGGTCTGAATTCCAAATTTTGTTGATGAAAAACTATTGTGGGCCACAGTGGAATATTCTAATTTATTTTGTTTTGTTAGACAAACCTGGGAGAGTCATGGTCTATACGTGCCTCTATTATAATGACATGTAATGAGCTAAATGCCTAAATGTGGGTATTTAAATGCAAATTATAATATTTTCGACACTGACATTAATTTTCTTTGTGCACAGATTTCCTCCACAGTGCAAACATTCCTCACTGTTCACCACACATTTACAGCAAAAACCCAAACTGCTTAACAACAACATGAGTCAAACATTTGTCCTTTTTCTATAGAATACTTAGGAGTTGGGTAAAGAAGCAAGCAAGCGTGAATTATTGAATAGTTCAGTTTAAGATGAATAAAAAACAGATTATGCATTGCTGTATATTAAAAAAGCTCATACATATGTTTCAATATATTATAATGAGTTCATTGACTTGACATATACCGTGTTACGAATCCTAAATACACCAGTATATTTTTCACACATGCAATACAGTATTATGCATGATTTTATATATGTATAACACTTTTTTGTGTCCTGTAATCAAGTTTTGTATTTGGAGATACTCAGGTGTTTGTAAGACACGGGACATGCGTGAAACCTTTATCTGCACCTTAATGAACATAAATGGCTTTAAAGCATTTTAATTGATATTTTTATTGAATGCCCTATTGTAATGCAAAACACAAGTTTTAATAAAGTACATTTGCAAAATAGTACAATGAATATTAACTAAGGTTGGTCACTCAGAAGGTATTAAAACCTACAGTTTATGTTGCTATAAATTGTTTAAGTAACTTTTGTTTGGGCATTATGTTAGTGAGCAATGAATATCAGTCAGTCAACACTTGTGCGATGGTCTCTGGTTACCTTAATCATGTGTTCAGCGTGTGAAAATGACATGACTGCCTGCAATGCAAGCGCTGGGGTGCTAGCATTCCAATCTGCAAACACCACACTCCTGCTGTGAACCACACAATGCGACAACCCCTTTCACAGCGAGAGGCACAGACTGTCCTCATCTTTGCATTCGACATCACAAGACGACACAGCACCAAAAAAGTTTAAATGGACTTCTACGTCGATACGGTAACGTGTCGCCTGCCTTTTGAAGATTCCACAATCTGAGAAGAAAAAAAAAGGCAAAAGAAATTTAAAATTAGATATTTATGCTGGGGTGGCAGTAAGCATTTCTTCCACAAAAACTCAATTAGATTGCAACCTGAGACACCTTCTGTATGGAGTGTATGTGTGCTCACTTGGTCATGTCCTTTTCTCAAGGAGCTCCAGTTTTGTTTTTCCCCACCTCAGAATGACATTCCATTTTGGGTCCCTTTATCTGTTGACCTGCTATAGATGGACAAGTTTCTAATCCAGAGTGAGAGCTGGCACATGACCTCAGTCCTGCGAATGGATAGATGGGGAAAATAATAGAAAACTGACAACTTTAACATAAGTAGCTTAGACTGTTCACTGTGAAAACCACTTTTAAAATGCCAAATTTGTGATTTGTTGAAACCTGTCAGTTCACTGACAAACATTTCCCTTTAATCTTGGTATCCTCATAAGCTCAAAGAAGAATGGGGAAACTCATTGTCTGCTCTTTCTGTGAAATGTACTTAAAAGACAGATCAGATCAAAAGCCTCAAAGGGTATTTGTGTGAGAGGAGGCTGTCCTTCCTTCTGAAGTATCACTTCATAAAAAAACAAAAGAAAAGTACAGTAAGTATTTAAAAATCTGCACTGTTATGTGTTTTTTTTTCTCATTGACATTGATGTCTTTTGAAGCCTGGTGTTGTTTGGCGTTACTATTGTTAGTTTTAGTCATCAGCTCAGGTGACCCTGTGTACTTAACATCTCTTTATCATTCCTGCCTCAAAGGAATCACAGCCTGAAGATCTTGGCAGGAGATGAATACAGCAATACTGGATAATTTAAGCAAAGAAAATGCTCATTGCTGACTCATGCAAATGTCTGGGAATATTCAACAGTTTCTCCCCATTAACAGTCACGCTTCTGTTTCAGTTCTCTGCTGCATTTAAGCAAGTTTAGTCGGGACACTGAAATGCACTGACTAGTATGGAAATGACAAATTTCCTGTCTGTATTTTATATATTGTATTGAAAAGTAGACACAATCAGGCATGTTTCATGCAAGCATGTAGTGCCAACAGACATGAACTATGACTCCACAGTATATGAACAACAACAAGAATATTTTTTTTGGCTACTCCACAGCATGCCTGAGATGCACCATGGAATTTTGAAAAAAAAAGCTTGCTCATTCAATTATCCTCTACAGGTTGCTTGTACAGGTGCACTTATACAGTGGTGCCATCTAGAATCAGCTGTGGGGAGAAAATACATTAATACCTCGCCAAACAATGCCCCACTCCTCCAGGAGCTGGTCCCCCCAGTTAACCATGTTTCAGTTGGCCAACCCTGTTCCTAGGCAGTGCACTTCATCCCCATCGGGCCTAGCACACAAACTACCGCACAGCCTGGCTGAGACCCCATCAGTACAGCCTAAACTATATCTTCTCCAAGCGTTCCTTGCTTGCCGAGTCCCACAGGCTAAACCTTTCTCTTTCCCAGCTGGAACTTAGGTGCAGACTGACACCCTTTTCATTTTATTTCTATATACAACATGTTGAGCTGATCGTTTTTTGAAATTGCAGTATGACGTTTGCTGTTGTTGTCTCAGCGGGACTTTGCTTCTGTTTCTACTGCTCACAGGTGTTTGAGGTTGGAGCATTGACCACGTTTCTTCAAGGCATTCTATAAAATGCAGGGTTTTGGATACACAAGTAAAATGCACAAGGTTAATTTGGTTTAAAAAAGGCAGCTTTCAGATCTTACGAGTACCTTTCATGTTTCTTCTTGTGCTGCCTCACTCAGAGGTGCATGGCCAGATGGGAAGCAGCTCTTTTAAGCCAGCTGTTAGGTCTACCTGGGAGGCAGGTGTCTGGTTACAGCTGGTGTCATCCACAGGGCCGCTTCTCTTTGTGCTGCTGACGAGAAGAGGAGCCTTCATGTTAAACTCACCACATCAAAAGCAGCAGGTGAGTTTCCCCCAGCCACTCTCTTTGATACTTTTTTATGACTTTGTTCTATACATCTCCCATATGCTTTCAACCTCTGGCCTTCCTTTGCTTAGAAGGTGATTAACATGAAGGTTGCCTTCCGCAGCTAGAAATGAAAAGAGAAAGAAAATGATGGTATCAGCAAAAATAAACACAGAAACAGTTCTGTGTTTTAAAAAAGCTGGGCCGCATGCTTCTTTGCTGTGACCATGCTCAGATAAATGGATAGGGGGAAGCTTCACAATGTGTGTTGGATCATCATAGTTTGCCTGGGGATAAATATTTTACCAAATGAATAAGACAATAAAACTATGAAGTTGTTTAGTTACCACCCAAAAGAAGACTGATTTGTGACCTCACTGCTCCTTCTCCTTGCATAAGATGAGACAGCTGGCACTGGTAAGGTAGTACCAGCAGCACACTGGTCCCACAGATCCCAAGAACATTTGAAGGTAGAGGAGTAACAAGACAACTACTGAATGAAGACAAATTTGGGCCATATTTGGATGATGACACAAATGTGAAACTAAAAGGTTATTAGAGTCAGAATCTGGTATGCAAAGTCAGTAATCAGTAGCAGCAAGGAAAATAATTGCATTGTAATGTAATGTTTGGAGATATACTTTACTTTGCACCATTTTTGAGTGTCAACTGTTATGCCACCCACGATTTTCTATTTTCGACTAACTCGCAATGATATCTAGCTGATATAGAGTCAGGAGTTAACTCCACCATGCCTTGCATGTCCCACACACTTGATATCCCTGAATATCCTACTCATGAATTGTGAAAGTCCAGTAATACAAATTTGTATGGCAGATTTGTCCTTTTATACAGAGCTTGCAGTTTGTCTCCTGTCGTCTTATATATTTACGCCATGCAAAACTACAGTAGACTATGAGTGCACTGTAAATTATCATAGCACGTATTTATGTCTTCACACAATTTATTTTATTCAGATATTGTATTGAACGATTTAATAGATGCAAACACCTAACATAAATAACACAATTAAAACATAGAAAACAAATTGTTACTCAGAATGGGACTCTTGGATGTCTGATGAATTTTAAAGCAAAGATCTCATTCAGATTATATTACAATAAAGATGAATGAAGAGTAGTACAAGAGTCATATGAACTGAAGAAGATAGTTGGATGCAAAATTATAATACATTTTTGCATTTAAATGTTGTTAAAAACAAAGTATTTTACTGGGTTTTACAACATCGGTTTATGCATATACATAACTTGTTATAGAATTGCTAATTACTTGCTTTCATAAGAAAAAATCTAAATCACAGTATACGGTCTTAAAATGGTGCTTAGTTTTTCTCTGTCTAGAAAGCCTTTACAGTTTGTTATTCAGTAATCTTATAAGATAGCATTGCTTACTGGTTTTGCCAGCACCCAAAACACTTGATTATACTCCTCTTGTGTAATTGTAATACCCAGTTAATATAGCAATTTGGGATTGAGGTTTTGTTTTCTTCTGACTTGCACGAACACTTTAATTCCTTTACACAGCTGTCTGCACACAGACACCATTAACTGCCACCTGTGAACCTTCAACACCATTTGATAATTACTGACAATAGTTATTATACTATATTATATATTATATCATATATATCCTAAAATACACTAGTGTATTCTTCTTTTCTCCTATTTTGGTTAAATAAGAGTATATCATATTTTTCATATCACCTTTCATGGTGCATTGTCTCAAGGCACTGCACAAGAAAACAATGAAACAAGAGTTAGATACACACAAATTAATAAAATGAATTAAACAGATTTAAGAGCTATGGTATATGAATGAGTTTTAAGACAGGCAGGCTAAAACTGAAAGATCTGACTTGAATTGGGAGATCATTCCACAGCTACTGAAAGTTTTCCAGAGTCCAAAGACCGTGATTGTTTAATGTATTTAATTCATCTGTTGCTTTTATAGTTCCTTCTGAGTAATGAATCATTTATTTCAATGAATGTGCCTCTCACAAGTAATAGCGTCTGCACAGAGCATGACCTCTAAATATTCACAGGAGGACATGGGCAAAGACTATTCACCACTGTTGCAAAACATAAAACAGTCAGTTAGAGACAGTTATTGCAGTCAACACCAGTTTCCAGGCAGATAGGTTTGTGTGATTTTTTCAGCCAATTCTGTAGTCTTAGCATTGGAACTCTGCAGACAATCAGTTAAGAAAGAACAGTCAGTTTCAGCCTTTCTTCCTGCTGGCTCTCACTCAGGTATGTGAGCTGATAAGACCAGAGCAGACAGACAAGTCATTTCTCAAAGGTGCAGTAGATCCAATGGGTACGAATCCCTGAGCTCAACAGATCACAGCAGTCACGCCCCTCTGCTACTTTTTTTGCTGCTCTGAATGAATAAAAACCAAGACCTGTTTTACAAACAGATCAAGTTAATATAGTTTTCTATGGCAGTAAATGAAAGTGAATTATGAACATTAGGGTTTTTTTAGACTCCATACTACTTTTAGTTTAAAATATGAACCAGTAATAAGTAAAATGAAAGCACGTCAAACTGAATATCTTTAATTATGAATACCAAGACTTATAGGGTTGGCATGACTGAGTTTTCAGATCAAAATTAGCTATGCAACATGCCTTGGTTACTGCTGTATATTGACTCCAGGAAACCCACTTTCTGACCAGAGGTGGTAGTTGATTCATACTTACATAAGAAACCAAACAAATATCTTGAGAAATAGATGGACTATGAAATTCATGTTGGTGAGAAGCTTTTAATAAGCTTTTAAAGCTGGCACATGCATTGTAGAAATTATTCTGCTGTCATCTTCTCGTATTTAAATGTTTTGCATCGGATGTACTATAAACCACAATGCTAGAAAGGGAGTTATATAACATCTCACTTTGGTTTAAAAAGATGTTCTGAATTATGGATTATTATAGTTATACCTCTAGTATCCCAGAATTATAAAGACATTGCAAATTCAATAAAATAGCATTCTTACCTTTCCTCAGGTAGTGTATTAGTGATATATTATGGCTGATGCACAGTATTGTTTTGGCCCCTTGGTGTTCATTTCTTAAATGTGTTCAGTTAAATTGTAAAACTGGTCACATTGAAATGCTTACAATCTCACAACTATAACTGACATTAATGAATGACCTTGAATTTTAAAACTTAATGACTGATTTGTATAAAATCCTTTGCAAATGCTAAGTACACTGGTTAGTTTCATATTTGTATGCACTCTCAGTAAATATAAGCAATATTCTGAAAAAATTCAACATACGAGTACAAAAAACAGCTTGGGAAAATTGTTATGTAAATGAAAACTATGTTTTACTTCTTTAAAAGTCAGTGTTGCTTGCTGTTTGGTGCTACAGGGGGTTACATTTGTGCAGGTTAGGCCAATGTTTGTTTCTCTTTCTAGTCTATTCATTCTGTGATGGTGGTCTGTAACTGCAGATTAGGGACAATTTTAGAGTTTGAGGAGGAACCGATCACAAAGCTGGCTTTGTCCTTGCAAGGCTAAATGGTAAGCTGGCTATCCTGTACAGTGATTATTGCAACAACACAGCGGTGATAAGACACTGAGAGCAGAGGCGCTCTCACATGCTCTAATAAAAGCCTGCCAGGACAGAACAGGTCATGAGCTCTGTACTGAGAACATAGTGTATTCAGCATAGCATACTTAACTCGCTGGACCTTAAATACTGTTACATCACGTCACTGCAACATCTTATCAGGGAATGTGGAAAGCATTGTTTCAGGCCTAGCGTGGCTGGATGTTTGCCCTGTGCAAAGTGAACTCTTCTGGTTAAATAAAGGATTAAATCAAATAAAATCTAAAATAAATTTAAGTTTTTTTATTTTTCTATGAAGATTTGGCCAAGATTTATGTTCTTTCACCCTTAAGGTGTTTACTTCCAGCATTCACATTTGACCAACCATATTCCTTTTTAAATGAAGGGGGAAGAGAGAAAAGATTTGCAAAACACTGCATATACTGCACAAACATACAGTACATGCTCAACTTTTTTGGAGATATATATATAAGTTTAAACTGAAAACCTAACTTGCTTATTGCTTGTAAAATATTACACAGAGTTACCAGTGAAAAGCAAAGGTAGTCTTCATTATAGTGAGAGCAGTTATATTACATTTGATAACATCAATAGACTTTAATGACAACTGTTTTCCCGTCTGGTGAGTAAAACCTTTGAGGAAGGTTGCTATGCTGTTGTGCTGTTACTATCAGAGTCACAACAACTTTTGATATGAACTTACAATGTTTCTGGTCACTGATTTTGGGACCGAAATGTCATAAATAAATGAACTGGCAAAAGTATAAATAACTGAAACAAACACATCACCATTATAACTTGTTATTGTTCTAAGTACATGTTGGCTGCTTAAGAGCAAAATAAGCTTTTAATAAAACCTTGATTTAAAATAGTAATCTTATTTTGTTTATGGAAGGCACTTTTCTGTCCTCTCAACAACATTTGTGTGCTTTTCAAACCTCTTTTTAATAAAACACACTGTAAAATTTAAGGAGTGTGGTTTCTGTGCAGATGGATCTTACAATTCAACAAACAAGAGAGTTTTTTCTTTGTGTTCTGTGTTGGTACTGTGGTTTTAATGCTAGAAAGACCAAAGTGCTGTGTGATTGTTAGGTTTACTAATGATGGCTGCTTTTTTGTCCATTTCTGTCCTGTTGAACCTCAGTGCTACCTTTGATTCTTTTGTTCATACCGTTTTGTTGATTAGACTAGAAAGGGTTGTTGATATCACTGGTACTGCTTTTGTCTACGTTTTTCCTAACTCATGGGAAACAATGTGTTCAAATAGGGCATTGTTCATTCTCAGCAAAGGTGGTCACATCTGGCTTTCCATAGGACTCTGTTCATGGTCCTATTCTTTTAATATCTATATGTAACTAATAGGTCAGATTCTTTGTAGTTATGGTATCAGTTTTCATTTTTGTGCTGGTGGCCTCCTAAATTTATGTTTGCATGAAATATGACATTAATAAAGCACTAACAATCTTGTTTCACTGTTCAGATTATGTTAAAAATGCTTGTTTCAAGCCTTTTTACTACTGAACACAGGGCAAGCCCAGGGTTATGCTGATTGACTCTCCTTATCAGTTCTGAAAACATGTGAATCTTAGTTCTGGAATCAGTCCAAGTGCTAAGTCAGGAAGCTTGGTGTAACCTTTGATCTGAATCTTGCATTTGATGCTCATGTTCACAATGTTGTGCATGTGTCTTTTTTAGCTTTGTAGCATCTCTCATATCCATTTACATCTCTCACAATCTAATGCAGGAAAGCTAACTGATGCTTTTGTCTTTTCCAGACTGAATTATTGCAGTGTAGTGTTTGCTAGTGTATCCAAGCATGTTCCTATCTAGCTCTAGCATGTTTAGAACTCAAAGAATCCTAAATAAAATTAAAATGCATGAGCATATATCTCGTATTTCAGCATTCTTGCACTGACTCCCTGCAGATTGCAAAAGGAAATTCAAAATATTACTGTTCACCACTCACCTGCAAGTGTCCGAATGATTTGAGGAATGCATACATTAAGTTTTCCAAGAAGGAAGTACAATGTGCTGAAAAAGTAAGGACATCCCCTTTTATGGCTTCATGGTTTAACATATTTAGACATATTTGACCTTCACCTAGTCCATACTGAGTCTTAATAGTGGATAAAACTAACCACATCTGACAAATAACACACATAATTCTACTTGGCCACTTTATTTATTTAAAGAAAAATCAGCAAACATTCAACTTTGTGTGAAAAAGTACTGTATGTGCACCCTAAATCCTAGCATCTCAGTTAAGAAGGTATGTAGAATCAGGAGCACCAAAACATGTACAAATGATTAGTTGATCTCCAGAGAGTGATTTCCACCTATATATAAAATCAGGAAATTTTTCAGTTTGGTCTTAAATAATCTGGTTTGTAGTAACACACCATGCCCAAAAAAGGAATCGGAAAATCTTAAGGGGTATGCTTACTTTTTCACCACACTGTATATGTTGTGATACTCTGAATTTCCGAAGAAACAGAAAGCATATAATAAAACAAGTAAAATATTTCTGCAGAATTTGTTGGGGTTTTTTATATTTTTGAATTCAAGAATTTCTGAATTTGCAATCTACACATTTTTATTTACTGAATGTGTTTGTCAGCACATATTATAATGTCTTTATAAAGAGCTAAAGACTGACATTTGAAACACAAGCTGAAAGATCACATCCTGAGTTATTTTATGTTTGTGGCAATAATGTGCCCTATCCATCTAGTATCACTTCCTCTCCTTAGAGTCACGGTATGGGTATATTTTCTTATCAATTTGCATGATTGTGTGTCAATGTACATGTTTGTGCAATTAAATGCTTGAATTTATTTTTTGAAACCACTGCCATGTTTGACCTTTAATTGCAATTTGCAAGATATCATGTGCAGTTCCTGTTAAGCATCTGTTTAAAATGATATTTTAAAGAAAGAAAAAGAGAAAGAGGCTTCAAGTCTGTGGTTTTTCATTAAGATCGAATTTAGATATGTTGTTAGTGATGCATGGAATGCCACAACAAATCTGGTTAATGTCAAAGATACAAGTAAAGGTTTATTTCATGCTGAAATAAAAAGAAAAGAGCACAAGGTTTAGGCTGTGGAGTCTTGTTATCACACTTTCTTCTCACACCTGAAGAAGGCCTCCCAACCAAAACATTGTGTCTCTGTGTCTCTTTTCTTTTCCCTTCAGCATGGAATAAACCTTTACCTGTTCCTTTGCAGCCTGTACATGCTTACACAGTTACCCACTTGAACTGATGTCAATGATGGTACTTTACTTAAATTTTATATTATTCTGTGATGGATTGTCTTCAGTGTACCTCTGTGCTAAGAACTCTATTCCCATTTCACCATACATGTTCAGATATCCTTAGCAATGGAGCTTCATCCAGGACAAGGAACACAGAGCTCTTCACAGAAGTCACATCCTGAGGTCTGTCACCCCAACACTTTCTTTTCAGTTGTAACAGCAACCAGATGTCTGCCAATATAGAGTACCTCCAACGTGTGTAGAGAGCACGGATGTGTATGAAGATACAGTATGCAATGACAGCAAGTCACAAAATGTAGGGAAAGGTGCATATTACACAGAGATGTGCAGGGAGGGAAGAGTGCACAAAGGTCACCTTGCAGTGGGACACACACACTCTTTGAAAGAGAGGAAGAAGGCTTAAACACTTTCCTCCAGTAAGAAATGAAGGTTGAACTGTCAGGACAGGACTGCCCCTGTATTCATGATCCTGTGTGTTCTATTGGTGGCATAGTTAGAAAGAGAGATCCTCTTGCCCATTGGACATCCCTTGGGCTGATGGCTACTCTTTGAAAGCAAACTCAAGACCATGGCTGTTATTCTAATATATTTGGAGTTAAAGGTAAACATTTTAAGTGAGAATAATAAAAAAATAAAGTACCGGATCATTAATAAAGGCAGGAAGCCAGGAGCTGTAATTCAGGAATTGTAACTCCACATCGAAACTTGAGCTAACCAGCACTAGCATTGTCTGAATAAATGTAGGTTTGTTTACTTTTAAAGTGAAAACTAACTCTCTTACTCTTTGTATGGTACCATATATGAGGACTATAACTACAAAGGCACCCATGCCAACCTTTAGATACTGGTTTTTGCCAGAATCTAAAATGATAATCCTTCAAGATATTTAAAGTTCTGTTGTGATGTATTCAAATCTAGAAGAATGCACCTGAGATACATTAGAAAAATAGCAAAGGTGTGCATTTCTATGATCAAAGGTGATACATAAAATATGAAATAGAAATAATCTTAGCTCAGCCTTTAAAATATTATTTTCTACTATTTCCAAGAAAACATAACCTATTATCACTGCTGTATTCAACAACTCAAAGGCTGACTTTAAGAACAAAACAACAATATTTTGGCTGTGCTATCACATTCATTTTGTCTTTCATTTCTTCAATAAAAAGTTAAATATGCATATATACTAAACCATCAACCACAATATTATTTATTGTATATATATATATCATTTATTGAATACATTTTTGAAAAGTGCCAGAACCAGAACACCAGTTATGGACAGTTTTATGATTGCATTTGCTTTTGCAATGCATTATTCTTCAAAAAGGGGTCATTCTTGTTTTCCAAAAAACTAAGGAATTACAATTTCTTTTGTATTTTTACATACTGCCCAAATTGGAACTGCCAGTTATTTAAGACTTGGTGCACCTCTATAGCAAGTAGAGCTCCGCTGTGAGTGACACGAGATGTAGTCTTGAATGGAGGCATGACATATCCCAGTGAGTCTAGTTGTTTGCAGAAAGTGTGCACCGCCACATAGGGAAACCTCTCACACTCAGATAGTGACATAGTCTGAGCTGCATAAAGCTCAACCATTATGGGTTAGGCCACTCAAGAGCTCCAGGAAATGTAAAGTTAAAAAAAAATAACAGGAGAAGAATGGATTACACAGAATAGTTTCAGTCTACCGGGGTTCTCATAGCTGAAACTACCTATATTACCCCCAATCAACCTCAGCTCCTATTATCACTGGTGAATAGATAGCAGAGCAAGGAAACAGATATGACTAAGATTGCGCTAGAGACAATTCAACACAGTCAGTACTTGCTTATCTGATTAGACATCCATATTATTTAAACTTGTAAACTGTCAAATATATCATTTCAGTAGTTCAGCCAAACCCTAATAATTTGCTTACCTCACCTATCTCAGACAGCAGCTACCCGGCCTTCAGGAGAAGGTTATCCTAACACTCCTTTTATATCAGAGATAAACCACGGATCTGCTGTGATGGTGTGGATGCAGTGGCGTGAGTAATGCAAATTGAAAATATGCAGCATTGTGATGCGGATGTGGGTACGATTAGAGTTATACCTCCTCCTACACTTTTTAAAACTCTGTTTGAATATCTTTGGTTAGTACTAAGGGTGGCACAGTGGCACCGTGGGTAGCATTTCTGCCTCCCAGCCTTGGAGCCCTGGGTTTCGTTCCCGAGCTGCTGTCCTGCGTGGAGTTTGTTTGTGTTCACGTTGGGTTTCCTCGGGGTGTTTCCATCTCCTCCTTCTGTCCAAAGACATACTGGTACGCTCATTGACTTCTGGGAAAACTGGCCATGTTGTGAGTGTGTGTTTGTACCTGCATGTGCCTGTTGCTTGCCAGGACAGGCTCCAGCTCCCCTGTGACCCTGTATTGGATATAGTAGTTCTGAAAATGGATGATGTATGGGTGGTTAGTGCTAGGATGGGGGACCCAAAAAGAAAACTAGGTTGCTGTTCCCAGCAGTATTGGTGGAACATAGGTGGTATTGCTCCCACTGAACTAGAATACTGAAACATAAGCCCCGGTATGGTGATCAGCAACAATGTGCCATATTGTAAGAGGTGTCATTCTTAGATGTTAAACCAAGGTCCTACTTGGACTTTAAAGATCCCATGGTACGGCTCATAACAGTAGCTATTTTCCCCTGGTGACCTGGCTAAATTCCACTTTGGGCTTGTACAATCTGCATTTCTTTCTTCCCTAATTTCATTGGTGAATGAATTTCTTGCTTCCTCTAAAAGTAAAAAAGCTACTGCCACATAATAGCCCCTGCATCCTAACAAATGCAGGGAATTATTATTAATTAAAACTCATAAGAATCAGCGAAATTCCCTAATTATGTGTGTATGATATCTGCTTTTCTTTATGACAGATATATCATTTTGTTTCAATTCTGCTGCAAAAAGTAGTCTCTATGCATTAAACACTCTTCATGTCTTGAGATTTAAGATCTTATCCCACCTCGAGTTTTTAAGAACACAGGGCCTCCTTAGCCCTGAGTGTGCACTTCATGTGAATGTGTGCCAGCTTGGTAGGTTTATGTTTCACAGCTGTTTTCGTGACAACTGGTGAATTTAATGAATGGCTCGTGATGAAATTTTAACTGCAGGGCTGGCATGCAGCATGCAGTGCAAGAGAGTTTCGTCCAGGCTTGCTCTTATCTAGATTTTTTACTAGTCACACTTTGGCCATCCAGAATGGCAGTATGTGAATTCCACAAGTATAAACCAAGTATGTTTGATCATATTTAAGTATTCTATTCTAAATGTGAATTCTAACTTCAACAGTATTTGTATACTGACATTTGAAGGTACCCTTCATAATAAAGCTCCTGGACTGAAGTCCAAGCAGGAATCTGGACTCACCAGAACTTCAATGCACATGTACTACTGCTATGAGTTTGTGAGCCAGCAGATGCAGTGTGTGGTTTTCCATGGCCTTTGTCACACCAGGGACAGGGCTGTGGTGTTGTGATTCATATTAATGAAAGTGCAGGAAAAGATGTTTCATTTTTGTTATATTAAGTTCACTAAAGGTACTTTGATTAGAAGCATGTTAAAAGTTTTTTTTTACTTATTTACTGGTTGTGTAAGCTTTTATGTTTTGCTCAAGACGTTTTAATGAAGCAGAACAGATTAATGCCTCTTACACATGAAAACAAATATTTTTGCACTCAGCTCTTTGTTCCCCAACCCATGTTTTCTCGCCAATGAAAGACAGCAAAGCTCTTTTTTGTGTCCTGTTTTACACTTACCTTCAAAAAGCTACATGAAGCAGTCAGAGGCTTTCAAATGAGCAATCCATTGTTGTGTAGGACAAAGGCATGCACTTATCCTCTCTTAACTACTTAAGTTTACTAAATCCCAATATAGATTTTCCATCCTTAAGCAAACACTGGATGCACCTGTTTACCTGCTGTAATTAATAATGGTTGAGGAAGTTTCAAATAATTACAATAGTATCAATATAGACACATCTCAATATAGAAAACTAGTAAAATATCCACATAAGCATTTGATCCATCCCTGCAAAAGTGGCACCATATTTTTGTGTGGGTTTTCTCCTGGTATTTTATTGGACTGCAGAGAACAAAGAGGGTATTAAGGCAATATACAGTCCATTTTAGGGTTCTCCCACTGTCTGGTTCTCATTTGAAAAGGACATTCAAGAGTAGATCTGCTTCCAGAACTGGGTTCTTAACAGAACTCCCAAGTTAGAATCTGGCTTCCTCTCTGCAGAATAACATAAAGGAAATGCAGTCACACCCCAGTTTCGAACTACTGTCTCATACAAACCTCTGAGTAACAAATCCACTAAGTGCAACTATTCCAAAAGGCCAACAAGTTTACTGAGTAATGTCACTGTAACTGGCTTTTTATACACTATATGGCCTGTTATTTGTGCTTGACATTGTATTGTAAGGGAAGTCTGAAGTTGTTTTAGTTTTCCCAGTAACTTTTTATGTTAAAGCAATGATTCAGCTTTGAGGTTCAAAGCACAGAGTTCTGCACACAACATTTTCATCGTCTGAACCCAAATGCAAATTTTAAAAAAGACATTTGTTGTTCTTTGCCTTTACAGCTCTCCAGCTGTGTGGTGTAAACAGAACGTAGATCAAATATTTATGTTTTATGCAAACATGATTCAATTAGCACTTTAATAACCTGTGGTGGGATTAAGGTCTTGACTTTGTTTTTTGAATCACTCTGATCTCTTGCGTAAACAGAGCAATCAGTAAAGTACTGTGAAAGGAAGCTAATGTGATTGCAGTAAAAATAAAATGAGATGGGATTTGCAATGGAGCAATCTAGCATGTGCACTTCTGAACATCTCTGAATGCATTTTAACAGAGAATATATATGAATTGATGTTTTTAGACTCTTTTTTTAAAAAATGCGAAATATTCTGTTATTTCTCAATGTACGGTGCCAGTGATCAACCATTTATTCTTTTTAATGTCCACTATCTCTTGGAATGGCTGTTTGCAGAGTGAGGCTCTTTACATTTTTTGTATCAATAATCTTCTTACCACATAATTGGCCATCTCAGAAAAGATATAAAACTGAAAATATGTTGTACAATGTTACTTGATGAGTATGAAATGGATGCTATTTTTAATTATTTGATCATGTTGTACTCTGTCATTCATTATATTAACACATTGCACTTAAGATTCTTGAAACACTTCTGAGCCTCTTTAGTGGAAATACTTCATAGTGTCCTTTGTAATGCATAACTACATGGTACTAACTGCACTCAAAGCTATGAGGTTTTGAAACAGCATGATTATAATGAATGAGTGAGATTATTTTTATATATAAGAGCACCTACGAAATCTGAATTGTGTCTAGAATAAGGTTTTCTTTGATGAAACAGGAGCTGAATGCAACAGGAGAATGTACATTAAAGAACAGAAGTGGAGAACATTACAGTACATAAATGTTCCATGTTACTCAGAAACTTGGGATTTATAATGAGCAGAACAAATCAGTAAAGATAATTAGTGGAATTAGGTAATTTTGTAAAAATGTCCATGAAATGCATGAAAGAAAAGAAATGGCTAGCTTTATTAAACTTTACATTGTTTTCTTTTCTAGAATTAAGGCTAAGGCCAGCTGAGGGAGTTGGCCTATTGCTGCTGGAGGTAATCTGATTGCACGGTGTTGTGTTGACATAATTTTAAAACCTATCCACCACCCAAAAAAAACAGACAGAAAGTTTCTAATTGTATATGCAGATGAAGGTAGAAGTTGGGTGAGAAGACAATCCATTAGTAATGGCTTTATTTTTCTTTAGTGTACCTGGGATAGCTCTCTGTGAATTGTGTGATGCTACTTGCATCTTGCTACTTAACTTAAGATCAACCTCCATCCATCGTCGTGGTTTTCAAACTCGCTTTTTTCCAATTCAGGGTCCTCAGGCTTATTTCAGTGCTTTTATTTACCTTGTTTTTCTTATATACCCACCAGATTGGGAATTCCTACTTGTTTTGAGATCCAGTCAGAAAATAAGACATTTAAGATTTCTTGTACAATCTGCTTGTACAAAACATCACTGCAGTACTATCTATCACCTGACACCCAGCAAGCTTCACAGCTGCAGAGTTAGCGCCGATCGGAGGAGCAGCACATCCCAGACTCCACTGCAAGACTCTATGTTCCTGGCAGGTTACAGGAGTTACTGTTGTTCGCTGTTTTCTGAAAGGAAACTAAACCTACCTAACCCTAACTTTTGGCACTTTTGCATGGGAAGCCCCAACCATGAGATCTTATGAAATGGCCCAGGCTGAAACTAGCCATACCTGGGCTACACTTATCCTGTGCTCTGAGTTTATTAATGCCTCTGGTATTTGAGCCATTGGGAATCCCCTTGTCAACCCTCTAAAATCATACTGTAGAAATATACCATGGATGGAAGATGTATGACTTAATGATTTATGATTTACTTTGATAAACCATGGTCAGGGTTGACTGAAATGTTCACCTGTGTCTGCGACAAATCTTTATCATCTTTGTTCTTGTTTCATGTTTACAGTTAGCTGCTGTCCTTTCACATTTTTGTCATCTTTCATTTCTTGACATTTTAACTTTGCCGTGTCTCATTTTATCTCTGCTTTCATCTCTTCGTGAGCTGTGAAAAGGAAAAATTATCAGTTAGTTTAAGTAACCTAATAATAATTTTATTTGCAGATGCTTTTTTAATTATAGTAAAGCTGTGCATGAATAATAATGTATTTTGTTTTGAATTTTGTCTTTTAAAGTAAGATCAAGATTATTCCACACTTTCTTCCAAAATCCCTTTGGAGTGATACATGTCTTATGGGCATTAACTGTGTGAATGGAATTGTTGTTACAGATGTATTAGCATTTTATATGAAAAGGTTTAGACAAATGCATCAACAATTACTATGTACAGTTTAATTGTGTTTAAAGGTGGGTTTTATAGATGGTTTTAAACCTTATTTTCC